CTCCTCCTCCTCCTCCTCTTCCTCTTCCTCCTCCTCTGCACCTTCAGCTCCACTAAAACTAGCAAGTAGGGCTAGTTGACTGAATACAAGCTATCTATACTGAAGCCTTTAAGTAGAATTTTCCATTACAGGCAAATCATTTCATGACATGAAGCCACTTGGTGTAATGGCCAGTTTTTATTCAGGGGCTGGACAGAATTGAATCCATTTCCTAAGATGGAGAGCCCATTTCTCAGCTTAATTTGTCTCGAAATGACTGAATGGTTAGAACAGACCCTCCTCCAGCTCTCAGCCATCAGCCTTCTGGCAGCTGCTCCCCACCTTGGGAGCCCCCTCCAGCTGAGACGGGGCTCCTCCCTCTGCTCCATTTCTGACAGCAACGGAGGATAAACTGGTCTGGACCAGGAGCATGACAGGCGTCAAACTGGAATGACGTACAGCATTATTAAAGGGGGTTCTTTGGGATAGACCGTAAAGTAGTCATTATGTAAAGTGGCATCACAGCATGAAATCAGCTGTTTTTGGCATATAACAGACAATCCAACTTAAAGGGGTGTGTGTGTTTGTATAAATGGAACTGTTTCTGTTTGTGGGTATCTTTATCCCATTCTCTCTATTTCTAGACAGTGGAAGCTCTGCCTCTAACCAGGCTGGGGATTCTGCTTGGGGAACAGGACAGGTATGTTCTATTATAACCAAACAATCCAAAACACTATTTTTTTTAAGCACAGTAACTATGAAAATGCCTTTCCAAATTCAATCAGACCCAAACCTTTATCTTTCTGAAATTTGTTGTGTCAGAAAAACTCTGCTTAATTCATGCTCTTCATTCTTTAGGAACCGGCTGAAGCTTTTCCGAAAGGGCCAAAATATGAGTCCAGCAGACATGTACCGATGGAAACTCTCCTCCCATGAACCTTGCAGTTCTACCTGCACTACAGGTGAGCAGGAGCAGCTCCACAAAAGGCTTGAAAGACCCTTTGCAAAGTTGTTTGGGAAGGGACACAGAACACGTTACTCTTTCACCTGTGAACAGGACCGCATCTCATTCTCCTGCTTTAGTTGCTCAGTCTTTCAAAGAGAGCAGATGCTCCACTTCAAATTCCAAGCTTGAAAGCAACCACTTCTCCATAGAGCTTGCCACAATACAAATGCAGGCAAAATTTATTGCAGTCATATCACCCAAGGAATTATGGAGTCATATCTCCTCATATACACAGTCGCATTTTTGTATTAAAAGCCAAAGCATGTTCACCATGTCCACAACATTATACAGACCAATGGCCTAGAACTTGTCTACAGGGCCAGAAATAAATCCAACACAATTACCTGGTCTGGAATAATTCACTGTACAAGGAAATAGTACTCAGGTCATACTTAGATGCATTATTTTCTCAAATTGCAGCAGCTCAGAGAGTTTTACCAATTCTCTTAACAGACATTAGATCTACATTGTTTTTAGACAGAACCTGAGGTCTGTGAATTCTGCAGACCAGAAATGGTGAACAAATTTGCTCAGAGTACATACTCAGCCTCAAGTGAACATTCATGGAAACGAACACTTAAAGGAATTCCTGTTTCCTGCTGCACTTTCTCAAGAACCTCAAGAACAGCCCCACTGAATCAGGCCAAGACCCATCCTGTTTGTCCCAGGGGATAACCAGATGCTTCAGAAGCAGGGGACAGAGCCCTCCCCTCTCCCATTGTTGTTCCCCTGCAACTGGGATTTAAAGGCACACTGCTTCTGTGGAATCAAAACACAGGGCCCAAAGGCAAAATAATCAAGGCTTCACTGCAGTGTTTATTAGGCAGGACATGCTGGAGGGGGACCCCACCAAGGGTTAGTGGAAGACACTCCCCTTGTAGGCAAAATGGATGCCCTGATATTTATACAGTTCTACAGGAAAGGGAAGGGAAAAAGAACACATACACATTCATATGATGATGCAGGCATACCTAAATAGCAATCCTTCTAAAGTTCCTTCCTGCCCCTCTTTTATCGGCTAACTAAAAGGCCACCTGCAATCTACTAGGAAAAAGAAAAGAAGAAACTAATTAGTTCAAGTTGCCAAATGCCAGGAAGA